ATTCCCCAAGAGGCAGGGTTAAATGGCAGGTTTGTCGGGCGTAGGGGGGAGCACTCATTTATTAGCAAGTGTTTTTTAAAGCACAGGTCACAAGGTGTGCCATGCTCCCATGCTCAGGCGGCGTGCCGGGGCAGTGGTCCTCCCCACGTGTCTGCCTTCTGACCAGTATTAGCAGAGGCAAGGGATGCCAGTTAACTTGTGCCCGTGGGGAAAAGGTATGTTTCGGTTCAGGCCTGTCTTGTGCTGACTACATTTTGTGCTTTACTTGAAAAGCCAGCGCTGAGGAGGAAATGCAAATAAAAAGCAAATTCCTACTGACTGCAGGGGAGCTGCTTGGGTAGCTGGCGAAACAAAACGTACCCATATAAATGCATCACCATGATAAAACTTCATCTTGCATTGGATCAGAGTTTGACAAGAGTGAAAAACATGGGTACCTTGCAGTCTCATTTCATGTGTACTTGGCTATTAATGGGATGTGTGGTCTCTGCCAGGAGACCTGGCATCAGAGAAGGGGGTGGGCATGCCCCCCCTGCAGCCACCAGCTGCAGGGACAGGAGCAAGCCCTGGTGGGTCTGGTGTGGCAAGGGGAGAAGCTGGCTTTCCTCACTCCGCTCCCAGGGCATGGTGGGCCTGCTTGTCTGGCAGGTGCCGGCTGGGTCTGGTGGAGGTCTGCTCCTCAGGTGCGCTGCCTGCCTGGCAGACTCACGATGGAGGTGCCTGGGGACATCTCTCACTCTCCTGGCTTGTTCCAGCACCGGGCTCCCCTTGCATGCATGCACATGGATACGATGTGCATTTATATGCAGTGCACTCGAGTTGTGTCGCCATAGGTTCAGGGTGCGGGACACAGGTATTTTTCTCTCGTAGACTGTGGACCCTTTCTCCAAATGCTGGTGACAGCAATGGGGACAGGCAGTGCCATTTCTCCCCACTGCTGTTACCAGCAGCACTTCTTTTTCTATTTTTTAGTAATGGAGGCAAGGTGGTTTCTGTGTAAGTGGTCACCCAGTTTGGAACAGGCGTGTGGCAAAGCGTGGAGGCAGGGGTTGGTCTGCATCTGAATATATCCTAAATTTTTGGCAGGGTTCAGCCCTCGTCCCTGCAGTTAAGCAGCCGAGGTGAGATTCATGCCTTTGCAGAAGCCAGCCTGATGCCTGTGCACCGCTATTTACTCCACTGTGTTTAGGATTTAAGTTGCAAAGAGGCTTTGTTCAGGCAGGGTTAAATTTCAGTGTTTGCAGAAGCAGCTGACTGCAACTGCACTGAGGTTAAATTCATCAGTAGATGCTGACTGTTTTCTACAATTTCAGCAACACAAGCTGTCAACCCTGTTGAGTTGGCCAGTTAAACTGCCCTTACAGCTGCTTTATTTAGCTTGAACATTGCAAATTGATAATGTATTCTACAAAATTTGATACAGTCCTTTAAATATTAAATCTTTTAATGGAAGCTTGTGCTGAAAGGAAAATGTAAAATGCGTTGAACAAAAATGCTCAAGGACTTTAATGCCTGAATCAATTGATCCTGGGCAGCAGTTCAACTAAGGCTCTGTCCACTATTCTGACTAAAACCTTTGTCCATCTTTTATTTCTTTTACTTCAGAGGAATACTGTAAATCATGTTTGCGAGAATGAAATTTCTATCTTATTGCAACTGTAGTATAGCACAGAGAGTGAAAGCAATTGAACAAGCAGTAAGAGAACCAGAGAGTAAGTTGAATTTAGTTGCAAGAGGGCACATTTGGTTTTCTTGGATTAGATTAATTTTAGAACTTTTTGGCTTTGGATGAGAGAGTTCAGCTATTGTTAGAGGTACAAAAATAGAAGTGGTGTCAGAAAGGTTTCATTTGTTTTCTGATTCTTAGTCTTCATGTTTTTAAAAAAGCAGCATTGGCTGTTACATATGCTCTGCAGCAGTCATCTTAACACGATGATAAATGGCTTTTTCCCAGGTGACTCTTAATTCCATGTCTTCTTATCCAGCAAATGCGCTACTCTCCAAATATAAATATATTAACTTGGTCTTTTTGGACAAAGCACTAATGAGTGACACATGGGCACTTTGATTCCTTCCACGACATGCACCCCAATCTGCAGGCAATCCTGTCTACGTGTGGCTGTAAGCATGGACCCTATCCCATACCGGCTTTGCAGCTCACTTCTGACCTCCGTTTTGTCTTCTCTTCACAGTTGTGCAGCACATCAAGCGCCACAATATCGTTCTCAAAAGAGAACTGGGAGAAGGAGCCTTTGGGAAAGTCTTTCTGGCGGAATGCTATAACCTCTGTCCTGAGCAGGACAAGATCTTGGTGGCAGTGAAGGTAAAAGAATCTAGGTTTCCATTATTAATTCATGGTTGCAACTAATGTTATTTTATTTGTAAATTATCATGTCTGCCTATTCTGTAGCCCAGTGTAACTGCTCTGATATATGTGGAACGGTTCACAAGGCTAATGGAGTGTTAAGAGAATGCGGTATTTGATCTTAGTGTGGATTATAAAATGAGAGCTGAATTTCATAAGGAAAAGGGAGGAAACAGACTGTGTCACAAAGGGGCAAAATCTTTTATAATCTCTCTGAAATTATAATTAGTGAAAAATAATGTCTAGGTTATTAAAAATACATGTGACATATATATGTGTCTAAAAAAAATATATTACTAGCTAAGTGAATAGGTTATGTGTATAATTGCTAGTCAAAGAAGGCCTTTCTTTTTCAGATTCTTTTAGTTAGCCACTGAAATTATCTGTGGTTAATTGTCATTAATATAGCTGCCAGGAATGTTATAACAAACTTGTGGATAATATTGTCATGTGCTGTTAAACACTGGCTGTATGGAAATCCAGAAGTCATGACATGTCGGAGTTGGAGGATTTATTCTTGATTATACAGCTTCAGTCAACTCTCCCAAAATACAGTCCAGAGAACGAGGAAACTACATGAAAACAGCCATAACCTTGGAGTTTCAAGTATACAGAATAGTTCTCACATTTCTGGGGGAAAAAAAAAAGGGATTTGTTTAGTTCTCCTGAAGGGCACAGACCACATGGTACATCGGGAATCTACCAAGGAGTAAGATTTTCAGCTTGATCTCAGAGCTTAGACACCAAACCTGCTTCACCTACCAAGCCTTTTCGTCCCCAAAATGGAAGGGCTGAGGTTGGTTGTTGACCTCAGCTATGGATGTAGGCTAGAAAACAATATCAGTGAAACTACACTCTCGGAGTTGCAAAGTCTCCCTGGCAACAATCTCTTATCTCCATCTCTACTGTTCTGCCAAAAGCTGAACAAGGTGTTCAGCATTTGAAGTATCTCATTAAATGCAGGGGGAATACACATTTAGAATTTGGGTTGTGCCTAGGGATCAGAAAATAATTTTATCTGACCAGTCACAATTAGGCAACCATATGTACATTTTGGATCAAACCATACAGTAGAAGAAATCGAGTAGATCATCTTTTTGAATTTGGAAACAAGAAATAGAGTTTTGGATCTGGCAGTGAGAAAACATGAAAGGAGGATGCACGCTACAAGTGCTTTCTTGTTCCATCAAAAATAACAGGTTTTTGGGCGTTTGCCAAGGTTACAAGCTTTTTGATACTTGGGAGTTGTTCAGTCACATTGACAGGTGAGAAAAAATTAAGCCCTGAAGGGATATATCATAGACAGGAGAAAGCAAGAGATAGCAGATGACAAAACTGGATCTGAATGAATTTTCTGTTGTATTTGGTGAAGCTAGAGTGGAATATTTCTATTTGGTGAAGCTGGAGTGGAAATTGCCTTTCCTCTATCACTTCAGGGAACTTCTTGATAGCAAAACAAAAGTCTTTCCATTCACTTGCTTACTTTGAAAGTCCTGTGACCAAATGGAGCCTAGCACTTCTGCTGTTAAATGTTGCACCGCACTTGCTCTCTGCTGCTCTTTCTCAGTGTCATTCACAAGGAAAAGCATTCAGCCTTTAAAGGGAGAGATGTCTCCATGGAGTGCCCATTTAGATGACAAAGCTATCGGTTTTCTGGACCAGTTGTCATACTACTTTTTTTTTTACCAAATCCACTCTTTGTAGTGTCCTTAGTAAGGATCTTGCAGGCAGCTGTGGGTTACGTGGGACGGGTTTTGCCCATTTTATGTTTCTCGCATTGGCTCTTGAAGATGTGACTCTGGCTGCTGTTAAAGAGCGAATTTTTTAGCGAACTGTGCCATTGGATTGATCCCCATGTAACTCAGGGGTTAATTGCTTGGCGCTTTTCTCTTTCACCAGCTGTACCAATGGTACCAACTGTAGCTCACAGATATCCTCCAGTCACAGTGGAGGTCAAGGGATGGGGCCTCCCCAGTGTGCAGAGAGCTAGCCAGAGGACTGTGTCAGGACCCCTTTGCTGGGCACAGGGTTTGGCAGTGAAAATGTGTGATTGGTTTTTTTGAGTCTTGGAGGAGCAGACCTGGATGCCAGCAGTGGAGGGCAGCTCCTCCCGGCACACAGCAAGGGCTTTAGAGAGCTTCACCCCCGTGGGCAAAACCACAACACACCTGTCTCCGTGAAATAGACTCGGTGAGCCCAGTGGGAATATGTACTTGGTGAGGAGTAAGGCGGTGCCAGGGGGATTTTGGCAGCGAGGAGGCACGGTCTCACCTGCACGGGGTGGATCAGGATGGCTGGTGGTCCCCGCCGGCTGCCTGTGCCTGCCGGTTGCTGGGCAACTGCGCGGTTCGCTCCTGGCTCTGAGCATCAGTCCGTATGACTCAACATGCATCCTTCTTCTTTTCAGCCGGCCGGTATTCGAAATGCTGACGTTGCTGCAGCAAATTATTTAGGAGCTAAGAGGCCCAGAAAAATCTGGGAAGATACAAAATCAGGCTTAGCATAAGCAACCCAAAGTGCTTGAGCTTTTGCTCCTTGGAAGAGGAGAAAGATAATCTGTTTAAATTTGTTTCGACCATCAGGCTTTTTTGTGGGGAGCACTGAGTGTTTGGAAATGCTTTCTGTGGGTCAAACCCTGTGAGCAGAGAGCTTAACCACAGGTTGAGCTGGTTGCACAGATGTTATACTAGCCTTTCCGCCGGGTGAGTTTGCACACCATTTGCTGCAAGCACTTTTAGAGAACAGAGGGTGGAGGAAGGAAAAGTTATCGCTTCCTGGAGGGCCATTTTGCCATGCCACAGTGGTTTTGCAGGCCTGGATCAGTACTGTTTCCTCCTAGGGTTGGCTCCCCAGGCATAGCTTAACCTGGCAGAGCTGGAGGTGAGGATGACTGTCAGGGCACAGGTTAGCAGCTGCATCTGGCTCCCATGGGAGGTTCGAGGGGGATTCACCCTTGCTGCTCCAGGGTTGTGCTCAGCTACCAGACTACTATGCGCATGAGGTGAAGGACATTTCCACGGCACCTGCAGAGGAAAACCAAAGGTTTCCAACTCTCCAGGTCTCCAATTCAGAGAAGGGTCAAAACCACCCCTTCATTTCTTGAGGAAATACACCATTCAGCTCTTCTACGGTGATGGGGAGCAGTAGTAAGGATTTCATAGGGGACGGCTGAAACAGTATAAAGAACAGCTGTCGTGAGAGTTTCATTACCAAGTCATGCTGATGTTGGTGAGAGCCACATCCCCCTGCTCTTGCTCTGACTCGCCCGTGAATGCAGCTCTGTGGTGTGGGGTGGACTAAGGAGCAGGCGGTTTGCACTTGCTACAGAGCACAGCTCTGCAGAGACCAGATGCTACATGGATACCTGGGCAGGGACTCTGTGGAGGAAAATAAGCATGAGATGGTTGTCCAACTCTCACAAGGATGAACTCAGCAGATGTGGAGCTCCTGTAACGGCCCAAGGGAGCATGTCCCCCCTCCTTAGCTGCTGGCCTGAGTGGTTGGAAAGTACATGTGGTCATATCTCAGTTCCTACTCTGGGAAAAACTCCTATCGACTGGTGAGAGTGCTTTGTATGCAGAGCTTTGGCGTACTTGTCAGTAATGATAATAATAATGAATATGTCTTTTTTTCTCTTTATGCTCTTACGATTTTATTTTGATTTTATTTTTTCTCTTGCACTGAGAACAAGCTAAATGCATTAGTCAATGTCATTTCTATGTAAATTCTACATACTTATTAATTTTTTCACTTTCCAGTCTCCTCCTTGCCTGACTGTGTCAGCTATCTCTCATGCATTGTGTCTATTCTGTGCACTGCATGAAATAATGAAAAGGGGTTTTTGCAATGGTGGGTGACAGAAATTCAAGTTGCCCCTTGGTAGTAGAAACCCTGCCTGAATTTTACCTGGGTTTTAGACCTTTCTGCATTTTGCTGTTTGACAGAAAATGTGTAATTGCCATGGCAACTGCTCTGTCATACGATAATTTTGCTGTTTCTGTGAGATAAAAAGCATCTTCTGAAATATACAATATGCCATCCTCACAGGGCAGAGCTG